AGAGAGGATATTCTGTCAATAGTATTATCATCTGCATATTTTTCCAATCTTCTCGCCAGAGTGTGCGAATTCTATGTCGGGGAAAGAAAGTCTGAGAATTTGACGCTAAGCTCAGAGGGATTTTTTTTTTTGAAAATAAAATCATAAAATTTGAAACATGGCTTGAGCAGATAAAAAATTTTCGCATTGAAACAAGTGCCAATAATAAGAGTAATGTTTTGTGAATGTAACCGAAAGCTTAGGGCATTCCATTTGCTAGCTAGCTAGTGGGAAATTTATATTCCGAAATTTTGACTTTTACAATACTGGGCTCATTTCGCCCATTAATGATGGCTTCGCTCGTTCACAGCAAGGCACGGTAGTCTACAGCCTGACCGAGTTATTACGCTGAAGACTTTGATTTTTGCAATATTGAGCTCACTCTGCTGATACTTTTTGATACTCTACACTCAGCTAAATTATCAAACCTAGGGTGCCATGGATTCTCGACGCTAATGAGGATTGGCCAGCGCCAAGGTTATTTGTTCTTTGGATATCATAACGTGTTCGCTATTCACTGTTTGCCACAATTGGGTAGTATTATCCTCCAAATTAAGCAAGAAAAGCGACTCTTGCCGTGTTTGAATTTTTTTTGCACGCAAAACTCCGCTTATTCAAACCTTATGTTGTATACATTTCAATGGGATAACCTAGACTATTACGTAAAATTTGGATATAATTCAGAGGAAAAAGTCACAATTTAATAAATGCTGATAGGCAAGGTAAGGTCTTTATCTATATAACGACTAGAGTGAAGTAATTAAATGATTAAGAGTAATGTAGTCATTAAAAGTATTTAATTGCATATTAAAGTAAGGAAAGCAAGATTATTATTATTTTTATATACTATATTAGGGCAAAGCGAAAAGGTCTCGCATTTGAACACAGAGAAGGCGATATTGGCTTATGATTCACTATTAATGAAGAGAATAAAATGCCAATAGAGTTTCGATTCGTTACTATTACTAGTTACAGAATAATGTCTTAATAATATGACAAGGAAGGAATATTGAAAGCTCTTTTACTTTTATTACAAATTTTGTTACAAATTCGAGTACTTCCTCTTCGTTTTATGGAAGAAATGTGTACAATATATGCAAATGCATAAGCATTACATAAATACATTAGCTTACGCAAGTATGGTTTGCTTTTGAACTCGACCGTTTGCTTGACTTTTATTTTATTAGAGAAAATACATACAGACATACAAACTGCGCAAGTGTTGCATGTATACGTAATGGTTTGCTTTTGTTTATGTTTTTATGCTGATCGAGAAAGAAAATACACCTAATCCTCTTTTTACATGACAGATGCGTTTCGAAAAAATTTGTGCAACACCAGATATTGGCTGAATGGAAAAATAGTAGATTAGTTTCACGCCTAAATATGCAACAAAAAATTACAATAAATATTATTAAAAAATTCTTGTTCCAGTGGGGTCAAAACAGTTGCATTTAATTTTTCCATTTAATTACTACAATGAACAAATGTTGTTTGAAAAAAAAAAATTACCAATTAGGCTCTTTTGGCATATAAGGGTAGACATTTCACGAGAATCCTTATATGCGGTGGTATCCAAGAAATAGACCTATGTGGTCGAAATTCGGCAACGTAAATTTCTTTGTCAATTTACAATTAACAGCTTTGACCTTTTTATCATATAAGCTATCAATTTCCGTAGGAACGGCCATATGTGAGAGGGTTAAAAAAATTGGTCCAACCGACCCAAAGTTTTCATACCAATTGCCGACATACTACTACTTAGCCCATTTTGCCAAGAAATTTTGAAAGTTACATTTTTTCCCCACGTGACGACTTTTCAGTATAATGCGTTGTACGGGGAATGATCGAAAAAGTGCACCAATCCAATCCGTGTTCAATAGTGTTCTTTCTTGGGCCAAACTGCGCCTGCGTACCAAATTTCATCGAAATATCTTAAAAAATGAGACTTATAGCGTGAACAGGGACATTAGACGGACAGACAAGCAAACTGTTAGACAGGCTTAAATGGATTTAGAAATTGATTCTGAGTTAATATAATAAAAATTACGTCTATGTGAAGTCCTTCTGGGTGTTACATACGTCCGGACTAATTTAATATACCCCGTACCACAAGTGATGTAGGGTATAAAAAGTAAAAATTATGTAAACATTACCAAGTTTTATGCATTGTCATTTTTTGACACTAAACATAGGACTACAATATCACTACTATCACTAGAATTATTTTGCATAATTCGCTTCATATACGCTTATAATCGACATAATCTAACTGAATTGTGAAAAATATAACGTGTACTTGTAATGTATGTGTTGTGAGGAGTGAGAATGAAAACAATTCATAGAATATTGAAAACCGTGTTAAAACAAAACAATTCAAGTAAAAACGGTAAAGCAAAGAGGAAAAGAAAAATTTTCCAACTCGTGTTAAATCAAAATGGTGTAAAAATAGAATTAGATGCATAATAATTACGAGTATATATGTATATATGTAGAGAGACAGTTGACGCTTCAACTTCAATTAGTATTTTTCCTAACTGGTCGAGTTCGAAGCGAAAACCAAGCGTTCAAGTTCGTGGCAAACTATAATAAAACAACAAAATCAGGAGCTTTTTATATTATCTTGTGTTGCTTTTCAATGTTATGCAAGTCATTCAAACGGAAAACTGGAATATCATTGAAAAAGCTGCATTTTTGAGTTTTTTTGATAGCGGTTCCTTTCAAGATCATTTCAAAAACAGTCTCGCTCCTTACTACTTACTAATGGCCACTTAAAGCGAATCAGTGAAGTTTTAAGCAAATCTTTTGGAAAAATTGTATAAAAACGTGAAAAAAGTATCAACAAATACAAGAAACATGTGAAACAAGTAAGAAAACTATATTCGGTTGTGACCGAATCATATAAAGATGCTGAAAAAAAAAATTAAATTTTGATATATTGTAATACTGGGTAAACGTGGTCAATTTTTTCCAATTTTATACATGCATTATCCCATCGCCCATAGAATATGCGTTCAAATAATTGCACATTTATTTTCATTCCTTTTGAAAAACAAAAGTTTACTTGGTATTGCAGGCGTGTCCTTCGATCAATTTGGCCCATTTTCAATACCAACTTGGATGCAAGGACTTCCAATGTTTCTGAAAATTCCAAATTTGAAGTCGATAACTGCATTTCTGCGGTCAAAGAATGTTTGCAACAAATATAACATAGACGGACAGACGGACATGCTTAAATCGATTAAGAATTTGATGGTGATCAATTCAAGTATTATTATACGTACACTTTGTAGGATCTCTGAAGCTTCCTTTCGGGCGTTGCAAACGTTTTGACAAAATGAACATTCCCCCAAATCCTTCGGTGATCGGCAGAAAAATTATATTCTACTGTGGACAAATCTTCTATGCTCCCCGCCTCTCTCTTAAAAATTCAAAGGAAATTTCATGTTTATTCTTTACAATACCAACCGTGTGAGACCGATTTTTTGCATTTTTGTATAGCATAGCCCATGAAATATCCAAATTTTTATTGCTACAGCTTATGAGTATAACAAGCAAGAAAGTTTATTTTCTTGTTTTTGAAAACAGAGGTGTTCTCAGCTTACTTTGTACTGCAGTTCCCTTCTCTAGTCGATGTAGCCACTGGTAGTACTTGGCAAGAACTTTCAATAGCTGCGGCAAATTTGAAGCCGAGGACTTAATTTTTGCGAGCAGAAGAATATTTACGATAAACGTTATAGATAGGAGACAGACAGACAGACAAATATGCGCAAATCGATTTAGAATTTGATACTGATCGAGAATATATGCATATTATGAGAAGTGCGAAGCTTCGCTGCGTATTTTTCGGGGAAGTGGAAGGCAAAACAATCAAAAAATTTACGTTCAAAATCGATTCAAAGTCGCCCGAATTGGAAGATTAGGATTAAATTAAGAACAGTAAGCAGTACGGATTGTAATGTTGTTTTATCTGAACCGAATAGCACGCACTGAACGGCTTACCTGTGACATATAGGAAAAGTTTCAATATTGTTTTCATTTTTATATCCTGCACTACTTGTGGTAATACCTAGGATGTTGTTCTTGTGGGTTTGACCTACAGGTCACAAGAGTTGAGACATTTTCATTAAATTTGGTGTAGTTCCGTGCTTTAACTTAAGGATGTACGCTATTAAAAATGATTCGAATCGAGCTGCTTTTTCAAATGCTTCCCGTATAAGTCATTGCATGAATAATTGTAGGGTGGTACCGGCTTTTTTATGATGAGTCGCGTATCACTATAGTCTTTTCACTAGTCTATATTCAGATATAACATATCTCTCAGTCTCCTCTGTATGTGGGTTACGATGAAAATCAAACAAGAAGAGGGGAGATTATGGATAGAAGATGGACTGCAATCTGGGGAATACATACCCGAATGATGAATGCGATGGCTTAGACGACCATACTTGCAACTTCCACGTCAGTGATAATGAAGGTATGATCTACGGCACTGAGGATTTAAATCGGTTATGTCGATTACATAGTCGCGCCTCTTAACTATTTGCCAATGCTATAGCCCTGTACTGTTTGCAAGCTAATTGCTCTCAAGACGAACATAACTACGTTTTTCGGTGCGCTCTTTCGGTATGTGTACGCTGTGGCGATCGCAAGCAAAACACAGTCACGCTTCGTGCAGCACATTGCTGAGATCAGGTAATTAATTTCATACCAAAAAAATGCTTGTCACTCAGATGAAGTTGAGATGATTAGCGCATTTTGGGACACCTTCATCTATATGCATGCACATAATATGTGTATCTTATTAAGAGCGGTTTAGCAAGCGCCTAAGGTACGAATTCATAACATTTTTTTTCCCATATTTCTTTTGTGTAAAATTAAAGCTGTACGGATGTTACGTTGCAGTATGAGTAAAAGCTTTAACTGTTGAAAATTTTAAGACTTAAATCTCGATAGCGGTAAAAGATCATCTATCAGTTATATTCGTCTATTCTCGGTGAGCGGTTGCTTTTTAAAAAGAAAAAAAACAAAAAAAAAAAAGAAGAAAAATCAGAAAACCTAAAAGCATCTAAACTGGAATGTAAAATAAAGAGTCTTTGGGAATTTAAAAAAGAAAAAAGTAAACTCAAAGGATATAAACGAGAAAAGAGAAGAATAACAAGGAGAAATACATTAAAAATGTGGAAACCTTTAGTCATATTGTTGTTGTGTTCAACGATTATAAAAAATCTTGTTGTCGCCCAAACAAACGAAATACGTAAGTTTTTTTTCTTTTTAAAGGAAATGAGAAAGAAAAATTGCATATATATGCATACCTCTGTGTAATTGCAAAATAAATAATATAAGTAAATTTTTATATCTTGTACAGAAAAAAATAAAAATAAAAATAAATAAATAAAGAAAAGAAAAGAAAAATGCGGAAATTGATTTTTTATCTTAAGTAAATATTTAAAATTTAACTTAACATTGATTGGCTTTATACTGATCTTTACAGTTTAAGTGTTAATAAAATTCATTGTTGGTGCAATACCTTAACCAAATTATGGTTGAAACATAAGCGAGTTCAAGGTTTAATATTTAACTTAAACTATTTTAACACGATATCGATTGTTATAAAATTTACCAGTTTTTCATCTCTTTCTCTTTAGTGTTTTGCGTTTTAATCATTTTCTATGAACAATGGATTGAATAGCATATACGTTAATAAACAAAAAAAAAAAAAAAAAAAAACTGAAATTCATTTGTCCACAAATAGTGGGTCAAGAGCGGTCATTTGATTTTAAGATGCTTTGTCCAATGGCTGTTAAACTTGTATACGACATGAGCTAAAGAAAACGATTGCAATTTGTAGATAATTAAATAAAAACGAATATTAAATTGAAGTTATTCTTTATGGTAGGTAGCACTTAACATAGATTTCTAAAGAGAGTTAGAGAACAGCAAGCGAATAATTTAAAAGATATAATTATTAAACGAATTTTTTATGCAAATTATATCAACAAATTTTATGGAAAAATACGATTTCGACATAAATCAAGAAACTTAAGAAAATCTTTGCTTATATCCTAAGCTAAGAAAATGTCGAGTTGATTATCACCATGAAATTGCATATCCTTCCCGTATGAGTAGTCGATTAGACAAAGAAAAATTGTGATTACCAAGTTCGCTGGTTCGTCTCAACGCGTTAGAGCATACTTGGTAAGGACTTGGTCGCTAAAGGTATAATACTTACCAATTGGACACACATCCAAATATGTTGTGGCCACTTCCTATTTCTTTCATCACTTTTTTCTGACCGTCATCGTCGGACAGGTGGAATACCCCGATCGGGTCGCGTTAACAAATAAAAAAAAGCAATTTGAAGGTCGGTTAACGCATAGTACTTATTGATCAGGCACTTACTTCTCAGGTTGCGATCAATCTACTATCAGTATTTAGCCTCTTCTTTATATCCCTCACCACTTGTGGTGAAGCGTATATTAAGTTTGTGCGGTCGTATGTAATATCCAGAAGGGCTTACGATAGGCCCACCTTTTATTATTCCAATCAATTCAGAATGATTTTGCAAATCGATCTGAACCTGTCTGTGCTTGTGTTTCCGTTTTCAAGCTGCAGTTCGTAATTTTTGAGATATTTCGAAGAAATTCGATATGCTTCCGTGCTTTCGCTCAAAGGCGAATGCTATTGAACATCATGGTTTGGATCGGTTCCCTTACAATGATGAAAAGTCGTTATATAGGAAAAAGATGTAACTTTCAATATTTCTCGGCAAAACTGGCTAAGTAGTAGTATTTCTATATTGGTATGAAAACTTTAGATCGGTTGGGGCGATTTTTGAAGCCCCTCTCTTATAACAGAAACTGAAGATCATACGACAAAAAGGTATAATTTTCAATGCTTTGTGATGACAATTATTTCAAAATAGTAATTGAACATAAAAAAATTAACTTTGATCTTTTGCAGAGCAGAAAAGCGTAAGTTTTAATATGTGGTGATCGAAATTGACACATAACATTATAGTAAGTTCATACAAAAATGAACTATACAAAGTTTAGATCATCTACGCCCATTTTTGGATCCAGCCCTTTGTGAGGATTAAACTTGTTTTACATAATGTTGCGTTTTGGGCCTGCTTACCCATAAATATGCACATGGAAAATATGTCTTTATATAGAAACAAGATATAATTTTTGCCTTCTATAACAAAAATAGGGTTTTTGTTAGATAACGTAGTGTTGGGTATTCAAAGGCCGGCCTTGCCTGACTATAATGTTCTTATTTGTTTTGCATTTATCGAAGTTTGACATTTTATGTGCTGCGAAGTGTCAGAGAAAAACGCAAGAATATGTACAATTCTAGCTGAAGTCATAATCAAGTTCAAAAAAATCGTTTTACATTTTTTAATTTCTTGGCGAAATCATTAAAAACATACGAACTGCATCTACCTTTCCTTGTATTCACGAATAAATGAATATAAACATTTTCTAAAGACATTAGGCCATAATTTACCAATAGCAGTCAGAGCTCTGTTGGAACTGCTTAGCCGCAATAAAAAAATCTTTTTCATGCCATATGTGACAATGGATGAAAAATGAACACAATTCAGAGTCAGTCGGCCAAGGGGACGGCAACCAGCGAAAGTCGTCCAAAAAAGCCGAAAAAGTAGTGTCATTAAGACATTTCCAGCTTGTAGACAGGGCAAAAGCTTTTCGGAGATATCTTCCGGCGATTGAAGGTTGTAGATGAAAATGCTGTTTCATTATCTTATTTATTGTGGGCGGGCAAATCAAACTTAAGCCTACTGTCTTCGTGGCGATCCCGCAAATATTGTCCTCTTCAATACAAAGACGCAAACACGCAAAACATCATCTGTGATTAATAAAAAATCATGCTTCTAGTCCTAAAAGCTCAATGAATCAGCAGATTTTACTTTAGAATATCAATAGATAAAATTTAACTGTGCGATCTGATTCACAACAAAGTTTCAGCGAAGAGAGCATTACTAACGACAATGAGGAACTCTCCGTCTTAGTAATTGTTGATGGAAACATTACTGGGGACAATATGCACAGGGAAAACGTATTTCTGAAATATCATTTGTAAGCCGGCTAACGCTGGATATTAATAAATTCAATTCAAGTTGAATACAATTTACCAGGCGGACCTTGCTTATTGATGCGGCTAGCTGTAAAAGCAGTCATTGTTTAACCGCGTTAATGATTCCATTTTTTTTTTGCTGCCATAGGACAAAGCTTTTGCAATTCTCAGCAATAGCACAATTTGTCAAAGCGTTGGACATGCCGAGTTTTGCGCCAAAAAAAGAACATTCATCGACAACATTTCTTCTTGCCCGAGCGGGCAAGCGAGTACAAGCAAAAGCGGTTTTTGCACCGCGTCATTACTGGGAATGAACGGTGCATCAGTTGCATAATTGCATCATGGTGCATAATTTCTGTGTAAAACTATGTAACATTCAGCCGCGAGATCTAGTCGTTATGGCAAGAAGACAATACTTAGTCTTGGATGTGAAGAAGGGGATGTGATCTGTTAAAGTCAGAGGAGGCGGATACTTCCAAACGCTACTAAACATTACTATTCAAAGAAATCAATTCGAGCGGTTCACTTAAAAAAAAAGGGCAGAATATCAAAGAAAGCAACGTAGTCGATTTTTACTTTACATGCGTCCATCTGTTCATACCGCTAAACCAGTCCGCTACATGTTAAAAGTACTCAACTGGAAAATGGTAGTTCATGCAGTTTACTCACCGTGCTCGCGTCATTTTGATTCAAACTTGTTTGCGTTATTAAGCAAGACTTGAGTTCGTACAAAGATGTGGAAATGGAAACAGTTCGCCACGAAAAGGGGAACATATTTAAAATCATAATTGGCATTCATAAATTTCCAGAAAGGGTTTCACAGCTAGCGATGGGTAATACTTCGGATAATATCTTTTTTATCATTCTCGTACAACAAGAGTGTGTTTTCTATGCAAAAATTTCGGTCTCATATTAACATACCTAGTATCTCCTATTATTAAACGTAATGATCGACTTTCTTTGAGGCTTGATTAGCATGACGATTTAATTATTTTCATAATTTTTTCGAAGATATAAACAGAAAATTAAATCTATTTTAAGATATTACGTATAAAAAGTATTATATATAGATTTGAGTCAACTGATCTTAGTTTTGAGTGTAAATGCGTTACAAGTCAAGTTGAAGGTTGCTTCATATTATATATATTTGTTTTGTCGATACACACAACACTGAAAATTATAATATTTCTAAAGTCAACAAACTAATAAAGTAAACTTATTTGATTTGGATTGACAATGCGAGTCTGTGCCCCCTTATATCGGCTATCATGTATGTACATATACGTACGTCATTCATTCAGTTATTAAATAATGATAAGTGCAAAGAAATAAAAAACTATACGTTCAATAGCTTTTAGAAATGGAATCGCTTATGATTGATTAGAAAATCGCAAGGTGTTATTAGCTTTTGTTTTTATTATATAGATATTTGTGCGTAGAAATTATTTAACAAAAATTGTACAATACTAACTAACTTATATTGAATATATACTTTTGTGTGTTTTTCATGTAGCTGAATATGTTAAGCAATGCAGGCGTGATGATCCCAAATTAACGGAATGCTTTATTAGTTCCCTGGAACATTTAAAACCATATCTGGCCAAGGGTATACCAGAAATTGAGGTAACTTTGCATATCAAATAATTTTCAATTTTCAAAATTGTAATTTTTGAAATTTATCTATTAAATCAAAATTAAGAAAAGCATAAGTGTGACTACGGCCGAGACTCATAAAATTTTCTAGTTATTCTTTTTAAAGTGTTTACCTAAAATCTTATGGAAATTGTTTTAGAAATATTTTAAGTTTTTTTTATACCCAACGTTTGCAGTGCCTAGAAGGAAGCTTCAGATGCCTCGCAACATATACATATTATTGATCAGCATTACATTCTAAATCGATTTACTCATGTCCGTCTGTCCGTCTAAATCTGTTTTACACATTCTCCTGGCCGCAAAAATGAAGCGATCGACTTCAAATTTGGTAGAAACCCAGGCTGGTATTGAAAATGGGTTAAATTGATCGAAGGACATGCCTGCGGTGCTACGTATACCGAGAACACTTTTGTTATTTAAAAGGAATAAAAAATTGATCTTTCCATCACTGATCATAAACTATAGCATGCAAATGTACAATCATTTGAACGCATATTCTATGGGCGATGGTGTAATAGTTGTATGAAAATGAAAAAAAATTGCCCTGCCTACCTAATATTATATTGTATCAAAATTAATTTTTTTTCTTCAACATCTTTATAACGCGCAGAAACAAGTCTGAAAAGCCCCATAAAGTATATAAATTGTAGGTCAGCATGTTCGTTTGTCCGTCTGTCCAGTCTCTGTAGTATCTATGAGAAATATTTTCCCTTCGCAAAATTTTTGAAAAAGAACTCGGAAGTGACCTATACTTTTCAAAGGACACGCCTACAACGCCCACGCGGCTATGCGACAAAAACATTTATTTTGAAAATAGAAAAAATCAGTCGCCCTGACTTCATTTTATAGAGCATGAAAATTTAATTCTCTGATTTATTTATTTTTTTTTTTTTTAGCCTAACGGTAATGGGCATAAAAGTTCGATCGCAACCGAATACAATTTTCCTACTCGTTTTTAAGTAAATCGCTTAAAATTTACAAAAAAGGTTATATAATATACCGATTGCAAGAAGTGTGTGCGCTAAGTAAATTCAGTAAGCTTCATGTTTTATTATTTCGGTGCATGATATAAAATTCAGATACAAAGTTCAGCAATTTAATGTGAAGGCGTTGCGAGGTATACACATCTGGCAGGCACCAAAAGTTTATTTTTCACTTTTTGGATATTTAGGTGCAGAAGTTTTTTTTTTTTTTAAATTCTTCATACATAAAAGATTGCTTTTGTTTTACGCCGAATCTTTTGCTCATCTTCAACTAGCAAGCATTAGATTTTTTCCATATTCAAATTCACTACACTATAGTACACCACTTTTTTTAGTAGGTTTATTTTTATAAATGAGTTTTCAAAAGTAAGCGTTATATGGAAAGTAGTCGAGAAAGTTCCCTAATCCGAACGTGTTTGCAATAGCGATCATTCTTGGACCAAAACATGTCGGTGTCAAAATATCCCAATAATTGCAGCCTTTAAATTGACTTATGTGTTTGTGCAATCTAAGTCACTTTAAATAATACGGAATGATGTAATAGGTAGGTCGATTGTATATATACATATATGTACAATATACAAGACTTCCTGTCCTTCATAAAGAAAAACTCCTTTCATTGCTGCATTTTGATCAAAACCCTTAATAATATTGACCGGTTTTGATTATGTGTTACAAAGTAACCAGTTTTTTTTTTTTTTTTGCTAGAGAAGAAATTATGCAATTTTTAAGTTTCTTTCCTGATTACTGCAATAAACACTTTCTATTGTTGTCAATGCACTTCCAGGCATTGAGTATTAAATTTGACTTAACGAAGCAACATTTTGTTGCCGTTAACCATTAACTGACTGACTGACTGACTGACTGACTGATTTACTCATGTTCAAGACACGAAGCTGGCTAACAAGAGAAAATAGCAAAATGTCGTTTCAATAGCTACGGTTATGATATACAACTTCTTGTTGTTGGATTTCTCACAAAATTAATTGAAATTGCATTTTTATAACCAACATGGCAATATAATGGCTGAGGTGTATTATGTTTATCTTTCTCTTTGTGACATTAAGATGTGCGCATAAAGGCTCCCATAAACTTAACATATTCTTATTTGATGAAAGTTAAATATTGATTTGATTTAAATTTGTTCTTCTGTCCGTTCATCGACCTGCTTACATTTAAAGGGTAAGGTTAAAAGTAAATTTATACCATCTCGATTCGTAACCTTGAGTCAAGTTTGAAAATGGTCGTGGTTTAACCGAAGTAACGCTTATAATAAGCAAATATTGAAATAAATTATAACTTTTAAGTTATTTAGGATATATTGATGTGAAAGTTTTTAGAAAAATGGTTTCCACTCCTATAAAAAACTCTCACAAATTGACCAAAAATTGACTTATAAAAAATATCGATTTAAAAATTTGGATAAATATTTCCTATGAACATAACTTTTATTCCTTTTTCTTAATATGATCAATCATTTAGGGAATGTCCCCGATTTACATAGCGTGATGACGGCCAGAAACTAGTTTGAAAAGCGAAAGAAAGAAAGAAATAAGGAGATGGTGGCCGCAATCTAATGGATGTGAGCTCAATCAATAAATGTTATGCTTTTACCGACAGAGTTGTCATTATAGCTACAAACGAAATTAACTTTAGCGCGTGGTCGCGAGTCTTACCTGCTCGCCCATTCGTGCGGATTATAAAAAGTATCGATTTAAAAAGTCGGATAAATATTTCCTAGCGCCACAATGAAAACTCCAAAAATGATTTCGATCAATGGATCCTGCCTTTTAATAAAATATTTCCGAACTGCAATCCGTTGCAGTGTTGAGTATTAGGGATTCGTTCTAAGGGGAATATAGCTTTTTTTAGTTTTGAGCTTTTAATTTGTTACCAGGTGCGGCAGTAGCCGTGTATAGAGCAATGCTGGGGATATGATTTTCGCAAAAAAAAACATTTAAACTGAGAGATATTTTAATGTTTTATTTGCTTATAAAGACAGGTAGTTAGGCAGGTAGGTGGCTCAGTCTAGCTTACACTTAGAATTATTGTTTTGGAGTAATTTGTTAACAATTCTCATATTTAGTTATTGTTATTTTATATATATGTAAATTGTTTGTTTGTTTATATGTATATATATATATATATATATATATATATATATATGTGTGTGTGTGTGTGTGTAATTTTAACAATTTCCATAGGCAGTAATGTGAAAAGCAATTATCTTCTTTTATGCTTGTATGGTTAGAAACGCTTTGTATGTATTAGGCGATTTCTATTATTTGTTAACCCGCGAATCTGTGTCAGATGTCTTTCAAATATTTTTAACACATTCCCAAAATAATAATTCATTGCATCGCTTTAATGTCATAACTATAGTTTTAGAGTCAAAAATGCTGACTCTTTGTGTAAAGTTGAATGTTAAACTAAACAAAAAAAAAAAAACAAAAAACAGCAATCAAAAAATATTAAGGCGGTCAAAGTAAATTTTCATGTCTGCCGTTAAAAATACAATTGTATGTTAGCTCGTATGGTGTATCCATCCATCCATCGTTAAAACTTGGAAGTACAGTTATATTTTCAATATATTTCTGACAACTGGTTTAGTCTAAGCAAGCATTGATCACAACCTATAGCAATTTTCAAAGCGCACTTTGCGATCTTATAATTTCAATTTTCTATAAAAACTTTTGTAACGCTCAGAACTAAGTTCAAAAAGCCTGATATAACCCTTACAAGACCAGTATCATTTTCGAAATGCACCTATGTATCTCTGTTTGTTCGTCCGCCCAACTGTGTTGTATCTGCAGTTAACATCCAAGAATAATTGTCTTCATATCGGCAATACAATTTGAAGCAGGTCAAAAGACACGACTACCTGCAAACACGTCTACTCTCCTAACTTTTTGTTCCTCACTCATAAACTATTATAGATAATTGACATAAATTTCAATTTTTTTTTTTTTTTTTAAGAAACTAAAAAATCAGCCAAGCTCACCTAACACGGACATTGTACATGGAAATTTCATTTTTGGTTTTTCTTAATTTAGTTTCGGTAAGGATAACAGGCGTTGGGTATAAAGGAATCAGTAGCAGTGGAAAGTAATTTTCTTACTTGTTTTTTGTTCAAGTGTTTTAGAACTTACCCCGGCATACACGTGGAGATTCTTATAATTTTAAGTAATTAATTTTTTTACGCCACTGTCTCTTAAGTGGTGTTGTCCAATTTTCAATATCAACCCGCGGGCCAAGTATGAAGGCGAATTTGAAGCGTGCAGCTTCATTTTTGCAAACAAGAGATTGTATATCTCAGATATTATTGAGTGCGGCACCAAGGGTCGAATCTGGATCTTCTCACTTCATCTCGAACATCTGAACGACTAAACTATGCGGCAGCGTATTGCATCCGTAGCAATTTCTTCTGTTTTAAGAGAAATAAGGATTGAACACATTTGCAACTTACAGTTAAAAGATTTTATCCATTTTGTAACAATTGCCCTCTTAAAGTATATGGAAATCAAAAAAGGTTCGCTTTATGTAATTTGAAGAATTTTTATACGAACTTTGATTTTCTGTTTTCTGTCTGGCTTTAGCGAATCTTTTAGACCCATCCATTTTATCTTAGCAAAGATTGCAACAAAAAAAAAAAAAGAAAAAAACGAAATTATTAACTTTGTACGAGGAGTTTATGAGTCATAAGTAAAAACCTAAGAAGCATTGGGATTCCTAATTTTTGTTGTAAATTAGGCAAATGCCTTGACCGATTTCGCCCATTTTTAATACCAACCTGTGTGCAAGAGCTTTCTGTGTTCTTGTCACATCTGAAAGTGATATCTTCATTTTTGGGACAAAAAGAACTTTCGAAATAGACATTACGCAAACGGAAAGACGGACAGATGGTGCTGCAAACATGTTTTTTTTTTGCTTTTGAAAAAATTAATCCTTCGGTGTCGGGTATAAAAAAAAAGTTTTTCCTATAATGTTCAAAACCACCAATGCAATATGGCCAATGTAAGATTATGTTATATAATTCCTTTAGACTTTTTACTTTAAGGTTCTATTAAGTGATTAGCTTAATTCGATACACAACAAACTTGTGGTTAAAAATTGATGTGAATTTAATTTTTACAGAAATCGGAAAACATGAACCGATATCTAAAGTAAGAATAACAAGAAAATTATTTTCGATTACGATCGAATCTTTTATTCTCATCATCCTTATCCTAAAAAGAGTTTACAAAAAAGGAAAAAACGCCGAAGGCAAGAGTTTTCTTTCAGCTCAGCTTTTCTTGTAGGCGTCTTCTTTGGCCCGTTTTTTCAGTCATCTTCATTTTTTTTCTTTGAAAATTATTGGGGACATCTTCATTTTTGGAAAGGGGAAAATGTTTACCACAGATATTGCACAGTTGAGCAGACAGACAGATAAGCGGGCGGACAAGTTTAGCCTTGTAAGGCTTGTTTCTACGTAAAAGTATTAAAAAAAAAATTAAATTTTGCTACACTAGAATGTTGGGTAGGCGTGGTCAATCTTTTCCATTTTTGGACTTTGTTAGGTATTACAGCATTGGCCATAGAATATGTGTTCAGAAAGTTCAACAGTAAATCGTGCGCAAGAATTTCCGATGCTTCAATTTTGGGGCCGGGAGAATTTTTAGAACAGACCGACATGCATAAATCGATTTCGAATTTGATGCGGGTTAAAAATATATATATACTTTGTAGCTGAATCTCCCTGCTGGGTGTTGTAAATGGTTTGGCAAAATGAATATTCTCCACATTCTTCGGTGATAGGTGTAAAAATCATGTCGATACTGCTTTGTTTTAATTTCACCTTGAAAACAGAAGATCTTGTTTGATCAGCCCATATTCAGAAAATCAAACCATATTTTTAAAACATAATTTGAATAATATAATTTTAAAACAATAGTTCAATTAAGTCTTCAATTACAGAGAAGGATCTCAAAAGTGCTTTGATTGGTTTAAGAAAATATAACCGTAGGGTAACAATAAAAGAAAAGCGCTCGCAATAGCAAAGACACATTTTCGGAATGATTTTTTAATATGACAACGTTTACTGGCATATTGACAAAGTCCATTCGCTAGTAGCCCTGAAATGAAATGTCCTTTCCTGCTTTCATTTTATAGAAACTGTAATACCACTTGAACTACTGGATAATGTTAAAACGTTGCTAGTCGTCGCCTAGGCCATGAATTCGTTTCATAGTTAATGTACTATATTCCTGTACTATAATCCACGATAAATATATCGATGTAAAAAAGCTCAACAATTTGAGGTCACGTGAAAATGTCTTGAGTGTGTTCCGTGTGGACGAAAACAATTCTATAGCGATGAAAACCAATGGCTTAAATTATAGAAGGATCATCTTCGGTATGGCCCAACAATGACTTTGTGTTAAAAGAAAAAATCGCAGGGAAAGCGATCATTGACTTTAGGTGGATATCAAAGCATAAAGGCGAAGGTCTCCTTTTTATATTCTGCACCACTTGTGGTAAGTTAGAGCGGACATATGTAACACCCAGAAGGGCTTAAGATAAATCCAACTTTTATTATACCGGTCGATTCAGAATCCTAATGCGAATTGATCCAAGGCTGTCTGTCCGTCTAATGTCTGTCTATGTAAATTTGTGTTTAAGTTACAGGTCGCAATTTTGGAGATATTTTGATAAAAACATGGTACAGCAACGTGTTTTGATCCAAGGATAAACGCTATTTAAAACGGTTCGGATCGGCCACTCCTTATATAACATCCTCAAAAGTTGTTGTATGAAAAAAAATTTTAATTTCCAAAATTTCTTGACAAAACTGGCTAAGTAGTGGTACGCAAGCATTTTAAATAGGTATAAAAACTTTGAACTGGCTGGGGCAATTTTTGAACCCCTTCTCATATAGTGAAAACTCATATAGTGAAAACTGAAGTTTTTTATGAAAATTATATCATAATAGTAATTTAATATAGAAAAATTAGCTGTACCAAATTTGGACCATCTCGGCTTATTTTTGATTCTTTGTAGAGCCGAAAAGTCTAAACTTAAACAAGTGGTGATGAAAAATGACCAGGAATATTATAGCGATTTAATACAAAAATGATCTCTACAAAATTTGGACCATTTACGCTTATTTTTTCATTCTGCCCTATGTAAGACCTAAACTTGCACTATTTTAGGCTGCGTTTTGGGCCCGCTTCCCCATAAATAAGCACTTGAAAAATATGCCTTTATATAGAAACAAGACATAATTTTTTGCTTTCTGTAATAAAAATAAGAACTGTGTTAGACAATGTGGTGTAGGGTATTTAATTTTCAGCCTTGCCCGTCCATCATGTTCTTACTTGTTTTTTGTAAAATTGCATTGTTGATAAATTTTCTTCCTGTGTGAAATCTCTTTTTAGTTGCCTTCAGTCGAACCATTTAAAATGGACACTTTATCGTTGCAATTAACAGATGGCCCGCAAGGATATAAAATCACCTTAAAGAACATGGATGTATTTGGCTCGAGTGAATTTCAAGTCAAGTCTATGAAAATAAGTGAAAATGGTGAACCATTCAAGGCACGAATTGTTATACCTAAATTAAGAATTGACGCCAAGTATACTAGCTCCGGTGTACTGATAATAATACCGGCCTCAGGTGGTGGCGATTTTCACGCCGTATTGGGTAAGCAAGAAAATGACAATAAACATTTAAAAATTCCTTAGCACTAAGCTTTCGCGTAATGAATTTATTTGAAGATGGTGTAATATGCGATCTCTCCGGCAAAGTATCGACTTCGCAAAGGGATGGCAAAACTTATTTGCATGTGGATTCGCTTAATCTCCATTTGGATATTAAAAACGCTGATCTAAAAATCGCTAATGCTTTCCGTAATAATCGTGTGCTACGTAAGTATTTTTATAAGAAATTTTTCATTTGACTAATTTTCATTTATTACCATTAGTGGAGGCTACCAATTTGTTTTTACGTGAAAATGGTCATTTGGTGATCGAAGCCATGCAACCGCAATTACAAAAGAAACTGGCCATGGAATTCGCTAAATTGGCCAATCAGTTACTCAAGCACGTTCCCCGAGACTGGTTCTATGTTGCATAATTTTTTTCTTTCTCTAGTATTTGTATTACTCTTTTTTGTTTTTGTAAATATTTTTATAAAAGATATTAATTAAGTTAAAAACTCGTTGAGTTAGAGCCAAAAAAAGATAAAAGCAAAAACAAATACTTTTATGTTTCTCTACTCCGGGCTTTACATCTAATTGTGTTTACATTTTAAAAGTAAGTTTTTTTAGGGAAATTACATTTTATATTTAGCATTTATTTAGTGTATAGCATTTTATAATTTACGGGAATTTTCTTTTCGAAAAAGACTTAATAAAAAAATTTTTCATAAATAATAAAAAAAATTGTTCGTACCTCTTACGGGAGCGATTAGTTACATTTGTCTGACGCATAGGAAGATGAAAATGGGAAATTCCAGAATAAAGTTGATATAATCACGATCAACGCCGATAAGAAAATCTACTTAAGCAAGTCTCTCAATTCTGTTATTGGTTTGTCAAAATCACAATTATGATCCCAAAATTTTCTTGCAAAACAAGTTTCCACAACAGGCTCTGAAATCGAAGAAAAACATCAATGACTTACGCTTGCAATTATCATAAAATTAATGGTCGTCTCTTTTTTCCTAAAAGGTTGTACTCAAAATAGAAGCGATTCGAGCTTAGAGACTCTAAGCGAGTCGTAAACTTTCTCCTTAATAAAAACTCGGAATTAAATTTAGAAAATCAAGCCAAGAGATTGCCAACAACTGGCAAAATGTTATATCTGAACAAGGCAGGATACGAATCTCTCTTCTCGTCAATTTCTAAAATTATCTACAAAATGTTGCAAAAATCGAAGAAAAAAAGATTTACGATATTGTTCAATGGAATTACACTTTTTAATATCGAGTAAAGTCGATTGCAATTTTTAATTTTGAGGTTATGGCTTTCGATATCGAACAACTTGTAACAAGTAGTGGGATGACTTAATTTGTGAAATTTTTTTCGATATCGAATGAAAAATCTTACAATTTCCTTCTGATCTAAGGTTATTTGCGTATAATTGAACTAATTTCAAAAAGAAATAAGGTGATAAAGACGGCGAAAAGGAAAGGGGATTAGAAGCAGATGTAAAGGACCTTATTTGTTTGTCGTTCTTCTAATAACGGTAAGCCTTAAGGTCAGCAAAAGATGGACAAACATTAAAGTAACGTATTTTATCGACCTTTCATCGCTTAGCTATGAAAAATACTTCATTTTGTACCGCAAAAAAATAATCAGAGAGGGTACCAAAATTCGCTGATTCCATTTAGAATTTGATGCTGATCACGCCTGGCCGCCGGTAACGTTTCGCTGCCCTTCGCGATGAACTTTCCCGGAGGCAGACAAAATATGAAGTATTAATACGGATGGATATGTGAATGGGTCGTAACGGGGGGGGGGAATGTTCTCAAACGCGACGGAGAAGCTTTGCAGTATGCTTGAGATCCCCTTACATATGCATTATAACAGAAATATTTCTGTCTGGTGGATAGCAGAGAAAAAAATTTCATTAGCTGCGCCAGATGTAATAAAACTAACAACATATCTTAAATGACGCAATCAGCTGTCGACACCGGTATAGGGTATACATTGAAGGTATCACAGCATGTGTGTCTTGTACAAAATATTATTCACCTTCTTCGCATTTATTTTTGCACAAATCCGCAAAAAAACTACCCTTAGGAAGAAAACGAAATATAAACATTAAACCACAACAAATTTATATATTTTGACTTATTTTTCCTTAAAAAATTGTTGATGTCAACTATAAGCATTTAACAAGAATTTGGCGTTAAGACTCATTGAAGTCTTCTTCGCTCTTTAAATTATTCACATTGGAATGATAATCATATCACGGAGGCCAAATTTGTACGCACAAACCAATAGTAAATGATTCTCTCATTCAACTCACTCAGCCACTGTTATCATAAATGATAGTCATTCTATACCTTTCTAAAAGAAAGGCGAACTTCATGTAAATAAATACTATTTTTCCTCTTGCTTCTTACTATAAATAGGCATTTTTTATTGCATGTGTAATGGGTTAGTCATTAAATCTCACTAATTTTCTAGTAATAATTTTGTAAACACATCCGTTACTTTAGTTTCAATTTCCAAGCAAAGGGACTAATGTGTTTTAAAGGGAGACAGGGAGCAGTCACAAAGCAGAAAATGCGGATTGACGGAGACATGGCAACGAGCAATTCTTGTTAGGTATTAACGCGTCTTCACATTATTTTATGGTATATGAAATAACACGAAGAACAAAAATTTTTATTCATTTTCAATAATTGCTTGGTTTAATTGAAATTTTTATCATATTAGGGATATTTACTTATATAAGTTAAAAAAGTATTATGGCAATAACAGTTTTAATATATTTAAGAAAATATATAATAGAAATTAATAAAATTGTTTTCTAATTCATTTGTTCGGAAGCAACAGACGAACAACAGCTAGACTGAAATGGAACATATTGTACGTTGCCAGAGTGGGCGTTGCTTTAGGGAAGAGCGATACGTTTTTGAATTATAAGCAGAGAAGAATTTGTTAGCTTTTATCGCATGCGAGATATATGTGCAAAAAACCCGCATGATTTATTTTTCTTAATGTTTTTCTCACTACCAAGTTTGTCTTTCATGCGATGAAAAATGTTTAAAAAACATGGCTGCATTGTTGCATTGCTGCATTGTTAAAAATACAGGAACATGGAAAATTTTTGTTTTTCTGGGAAAAATATAGTACAGTTTTTCTTGTTTATTTAGATAATATGTAAGAAAATTAGTGGAAAATCATTCTGTATATTCTCTTTATATATAACCTGGTATTTTTTACAGTTTTTCTATGTACTGTCATATAACTGATAAGTAAAAGATGTATAGATTTGTGATGTGTGTGTGTTCTCTAGGTACTATCTGTGCTTCCCCTACGAATTGTCTGCCTATTTTCTGCGTCATATAGATAGAGTATAAAAACAAAGTAAAGAATTGGTAGAGTAGATAATACGCAGAAAATGTGCACTATTATTTGTCTACGTGTCTGCTGTTCTCTACGTCATGCAAATAGAACATAGAAAAAATGTAGAACAATACATACGTTCTCTACACCATGTAAACAATGTACAGAAAATGAGAATCACTATTACCAACGACGTGTTAGGTAAAACATTAAGAGAAGATCACTGGAGACGTATTGTATACGTTTTCTCTACGTAAACTCTACGCTCTTTCAATCAGCAGCGATGCGCGGCATTTTCCATGTATTCTTCACATATCTTACGTGTCTTTTGGCCATTCATTGCAAATACAGTTTTTTTATGTTAAATTTTTATTATGATACAATTTTCATCATGAAGCATTTTTGTCGTATGAAGATCAATTTTCGCTACGGGGTTCAAAAATTGCCACAGCCGGTCAAAAGTTTTCATACCAATTTCGAATGCCGAAATAACACTATTTGGCCACTCTTGCCGAGAAATTTTGGAAATTACAATTTTTTTCCATGTAACGACCTTTCAGAATACGGAGGAGTGGTCGAAAAAGTGGTCCAATCTAGACCATTTTCAATAGCGTTCGTCCTTGAGTCAAAATATGCCTCCGAGCTAAATTTTATCAAAATATCTGAAAAATTGCGACATGTAGCTTGAGCACAAATTTACATGGACAGACACTAGACGGATAGACAGAGTTAGATCAATTCAAATTATGATTCTGAATCGATCGATACAATAAGAGGTTGGGTCTATCTTACGCTCTTGTGCGCGTTAAATACTCTGTCCATTCTTACCTCATACATCCTGTAACACAAGTCGTCTAGGATATAATTATTCTTCAATCCTTAGCGAGAATTGTGCGAATCGATTTTTTTGATTAGATAGCATGAAAAATAAAAAAAATTCATTTAAGCATCTCCCATCTATCAAAGAAAAAAAAAAATTTATGAATGCCTTGAAGGAGAGTTATATAAAGAAATGAAAAAACTGCTGTTTTTTTGTTGCTACATAATTAAATCATTTTCTTGTTTTATTTATAAATTTTTCAATGTTTCTTTTGTGTTGGTTGGTAGTTTAACATATAATAATAGTTAGATATAAAATTAACTTCAATTAGAGAATAATAGAATAATAATAATAATAGTGTAATAATAATAATAATAATAATAATAAATTGACATTTAATTATTTATAAAATAAAAAAAAGAGTGTAATCAATATATCGAAAAAAACAAAAAACTTACACTAAAACTATTTTAATTAAAATTCTAAAAATAATTAAAAATATATATATATATATATATATATATATATATATATATGTATATACGCGTGTGTGTCTGTATGGGTGTGTATATGTATATATATTAAATAAATACTAGAGCGAAAGTATTTAAACATTTTCTTCTGCTTTGTTATTTTTTATTAATTATTTAATTATTATTCAACTGCAATGCAACGCAATGCAATGCAATCATCATATGACAAGGAAATGTATGCAAAAAAGCAACTTTTGAAAGTGTTTACATTTTTACAGAAAATGAAAAAAAAAAAAAAAATATAAATAAAAAAGAAAAATATATTTATATTTCAAAATATATATAAAAATTACAGAGTTAGTGTTAAATACACGCGCCCACTACTTATCAGCTTGCAATGCGTGATTTATTATTGGATTGGTTGGTTTTTTTTTCATTTTTTTTATATATAAAGAATATTTATAATTTTTTACATTATGTTCTTGTTTCACTTGTTTGTTGTTGTTGTTGTTTGCATAAAAAACATTAAACTTTACAGTTTCCAAAATTGTTTTAGTAAAATTTTCTTCGATTGATTGGTTTTTTTTTTGTTTTATTTTTGGTTTTTAATATTTTGGCAAAATATTCGCCTTCTTTATGAGATGATTTTCAAATTCAAATGATTTATTATTATTATTTTGCTTTTTTTATATGTTTTTGTCTTTACCTTTTCTTTTCTTTTTTATTTTATTTTTTTTTGTTTTATTATTATTCACCTCTCTGCGTGTTCAAGTGTTAAGTGTATATATTTATTATTATTATTGTTTTTCATTTGTTATTTTTCTTTTTTTTCTTTGTAATAATCGAGTGCAAAATTTCTTAATCTTTATTTTTTTCAATAATTTTACAAAAAATTCTTTTCATTCTTTTTTTTTTGCCTTTTAATTCTACAGATATTTGATTAATTATCGATAATAATAA